GTTGGCATATCGTTATCGATATCTTTCGAACTGACATTGTTTTTAAATCGATATATTTAAAAGGTAAATTTAGCCTAAATTAAATTGGAAAAATTCGATTCTTTTTTGATGGTAAGCTGGCCCTGATTTGGAATCGATACTTTTAGTATTTTGATTAAAATTAGATTCATTTAAATTGCAGTAATTTTTATATATATTTTTTTGAGAACCTATTTTGATATCTCCTTGACTGAATTATAAAGTACTAGCGGGTATAACCCGGCCTTGCCCGTGGCACGTATGTTATAAAATCAAAAAAGCTTTAAAAATGATTGCAAAACTGATCGGACGGGAATCAAACAACTTTTATGCAAATCGGAAAACTCTTAAAATTCACCAAAAAATCTAAAAAATGCATTTTCCACCGAAGGAGTTTAGATTTTGCGAGAAATGTGAAACACGTCTCTAATGATTTTGTTATAGATCTTTGGAAATAAATTTGAACACAAAACGTCATCCACCAAATCTTGCACCAAGGAGGGATGGATTTTTCAAAAAGTGTGAAACACCCCTCAAATGAATTTGAATATAGATCTTTGAAAATTAGTTTGGGGCCGATCGGATGGTAAACAAAAAACTTTGATACAACCGTTTTCCGCCAATTTACCACTCTTGCGGGTGGAATTTTCCAAATCGTCGAAATACGTATTCATTAAGTTCTTATTGAGAGCTTTGAAAATAAGTTTGAAGCAAATCGGACACAACTTAAAACTTCGCACAAAAAATCTTTAAATCGCATTCCCCACGAAGAAGTTTGAATTCTGCGAAAAGTGTGAAACACGTCTCAAATGATTTTTCTAATAGATCTCTGGAAATGAATTTGAGTGCGAAACGTCACCCACCAAATCTTTGACCTCCATTTCCACCAAGGAGGAACGGATTTTTCAAAAAGTGTGAAACACCCCTTAAATGAATTTAAACATAGATCTTTAAATATGAATTTGGGGCCGATCGGATGGTAAACAAAAAACTTTCATACAACCTTTTTCCGCCAATTTACCACTGTTGCGGGTGGAATTTTCCAAATCGCTGAAATACGTACTTATTAAGTTGTTATGAAGAGCTTTAAAAATAAGTTTGAAGCAAATCGGACACAACTTAAAACGCCACCCAAAAAATCTTTAAATCGCATTCCCCCCGAAGAAGTTTGAATTCTGCGAAAAGTGAGAAACACGTCTCAAATGATTTTTCATATAGATCACTGGAAATGAATTTGAGAGCGAGACGTTACCCACCAAATCTTTGACCTCCATTTCCACCAAGGAGGAATGGGTTTTCCGAAAAGTGCGAAACACCCCTCAAATGAATTTGAACAAAGATCTTTGAAAATAAGTTTGGGGCCGATCGGATGGTAAACAAAAAAGTTACATACAAACGTTTTTCGCGATTTTTCCACACTTGCGAGTGGAATTTCCCGAAACCCCGTCTTAACGTGCACCTACATCACATAAGGTAACTACAGTGAAATTTTCAGCTTCCTAGCTCTTACGGTTTGGGCTGTGCGTTGATCACCAATCAGTCAGTCAGTCAGTCAGTCAGTCAGGACAAACAGTTTTATATATAGAGATTGATAAAATTGATGGTAAAAAAATCAGTCTGATTCATTGCATTAAACAACTAATTTCAAATCGATATTTTTAGTATTTTATTAATATTGGCAAAATTTATATGGAAATAATTTATATATATATTTCTTGAGAGACTTTTCTGTTATCTCTTTGATGGTAGAGAAATCAATCTCTAATGCATTTATTGATGCATGAAATAACTGATTTGGAATAAGTAATTTAATCAAATCATTTAATCAGAATCAGCTTAAAAGAAGTAAGAATATTTTGGTCGGCTTCGCTATACTCTAGGTACAATCTAGTTAGCCTTAAAGCCAAACTGTTAAGCCAAAGAGAAGACTTTTTGGTTATTGCCTTTGTGACTTTAAGACTGTAAACCCAAATCAGTGTCATTTAAACTGTGACTTTAGATAATATCGAGGTTGCGCATGGCTGTGATCGAAATTTCTTTGGCAGGGTCTTTATACAAAGACATGAGTAGACTACCTGCCAAATTGACGGACTTTTCCTCCAAAACTGCTGACCTCTCTTTAGTGAGTGTGCCCCACAACATTATGCATTTTATCCAAAAAATTTTGAAAATAATGAATACGATATTAATATATCTGTAAAATATATGAATTTTAATTAAATGTTTTTTAAACGTATATAAATTCTTTAAAAAAGATAGAAATTCAGATTCCAGAAATAATGTTTATATAATCACGTTACGTAAACTCTTGAAGCACTGGCTTCACCCTCATTATTGTGGCTAATATATATACATATATTTTCTCTATAATTTCTATTTAAACGGCTGCCGCTTAAGCTTACTCAATCCACGTCGGAGCTCGACAGAATGACCGTTATGCTTATTAATAGAATTGTATTGTAAACACTTCAAACCCTCATTATTATGGCTAATATATATTTTCTCTTAAGCTGCTGATGTGCATGGCTCTCTATAAGAATGCGCCCATTTCAAACGAGGCTAAATAAGTTCCTTCCGAAAAAAAATAATAAAAAATCGTTAAGCAGGCATTCTTGCAGTCTATAAGGCCCACAATACAAATGGCTAACGTTTGTCTTACGTGTACATTTATATATATATATATATATATTTTTAAATTGCTTTCGCTGGAATTTTGAAGACAACCCATTTATATACGCACATGTGTCCCCAACTGCCGACTGCTGTCTGCCATTGACCTGGTTGCAAAATAAAAAGACACGTAATAAAAACCATTCATCGACTGAGGAGGAGTATATGTGGCCACGTGGCCTGCTCCTAGCCACGTGTTTCCGTGCTCGGGACTAAGTTTGACACGTCTGATTTGATGTCAACACAAATTTACATTTATTGTAGTTTTTTGGTTTGGCCTGCTTCGGTTTTCGTGTGGTTTACCTTAGAAGCCTTTTGCATTTTATTGACTTTCAATTTGGTGGGTTCTGCCCGCAGCTCGGCCAGTTTCTGCGAGTGCGACTGCGACTTTGGTTACGTTATTAATAATTCATTGCGCTTTCCACGCCTTTTTGTCACCCGGTCATAATTCTTGCCGCTCCGCCTCAAAGTATGCAATAAAAATTGGGTCAACAATAAAGGAAAAACAAGCAAGAAAGCAGATATCTTAGGCGTGCCGAAGATTAAATTCCCTTACAGACATAAATCAGTGGTGCGTTTTCAAACAATGCAGTTCAATTTAAGGCCGAGGGCAACTCTATGTTAAATTAATAAATTGTAGCTTTCAGGAGCATAGAAACGTTCGTTTTTGCCAAGTTATGTTGTGTTTCAGTCAAAAATGACAAATTTGTTACACATTTCGTGGCGAAAATATAATAGACCCTGTAAGGATATGAAAAAGGAAACCAGCCTCGACAATTTATCAGCGCACAATATCAGTCTTTTTTCTGTGTTTTTAATAAATTTTTTACCTGGTTTTCGTTTCGTTTTATTTTATTACATTTTATTATTTTCGCTGCAGCCTGCCAACTTCTGTTACAATTTTTGTGTGTTTCTGTTTTTATATACCCTGTACCCAGTGATTGCTAAAAAGGGTGTTATGGTTTTGTGCAAAAAAAAAGAGGGAAACAGCTGCGATCCAACGTCTGATCAGGACGACAAGCTGAGTCGATCTAGTCTGTATATACTAACACGACAAAACTTGAAAAGGGAACAGATACTGTTTATTTTCTTCATAAGCAGGGTATCCCGTGGTCGGGAACACTTGCTGCCTTGCTAATTTTATTGTCCTTTGCTGTTTGTCATGCAATTCGCTTATTTATTTTTTTACTGCAGCGGACAACAAGTTGTAAAAATCATTCGCTGACTTTTTGGCCAGACTTTTGGTCTATTTTCTTGAATGCTTTTTTGGCAATACGTATCTGGGTGCATTTTAATTGCCAAGTTCTATTTTATTCTATTTTGTGGTGGCTGCTCTCGCAGCTGTCCCTTGCCATCAGTTGGTGCAACAAACTGATGCCTGGTTTTGGCCTGCCAGTTGCAGCCTGTAACAAATCCTTTTACTCGAGTCATCCAAAAGGGATAAATGGCGAGAGATGGGCAGCCATGTCAAGCGAAATGTACTGGAAACACAATATTTGTATGCCAAACAAAATCAAATTTAAATCAAAATTTTAAATAAATTTAATTGAGTTTTGTTCGCGACTTGATAAAGAACATTTTTAACTTTATTTTTGCGTTTTTTTAGCTGATCCGATTAAAATCGATAAGTTTTGTATTAAAATTCTCTTCTTTACAATCATATTCCAATATTATATTATATTCCATATTCCATATTAAAATAAGTTATTGCCTAGATTGTTGAAAATGAACTTTAAGTCGGTCAGATCATATACAATGAATTCTGTGTAGTCCCTTTTCACAAATTTTCCACGCTTGTAGGTGAAATTTTCTAAAGCCTCGTGTTGTCATTAGCTCGGAGAGCGACAAACGTGGCTCCCTTGAGTCGATATGTTTAAAGATTTAACATGATATTAGATTTAAGGTATATATTTAAGGAATACCAAATCCTTCGTATCATATTTTCATAAATTAATTGGCTTCCGTTCGAAAGATAAATTATTGGAACCCTCGAAAAAAGTAAATTGTACTTGTCTTGGCTTTTGCTTCATTTTAAAATTGTACATTCAAATTCATATTAACTTATTTTACTTATGCTTATTTCTATAAATATTACACAATAAAGTTTGCTCTACGCTTTACCGACTGTAACGTAGGATGCGCCTAATGAAAATTGGCTAGATATACACTTTCACCTTTCGCTCCAACAGTCTGCCCATAAACACGGTAAGCTGCAACATTTGCTTATCACCTAACTGGTGGTCATGCATTCATTTCCTTGAATCAATATCTATCCAAATCTTTGCCACTTGTGCGGATATGGGTAAAAAAAAAAAACACCCGTACAGGTGAAGGCGTTTATGAATAGAAATACATGCACAGTATATATAGCTGCTGCACCTGTACCTATATAGTATATATGTTCGCAAACATCGAGCATGTATTGCCCACAAGCTGTAACGCTTCTTCGTTTTCCTCTCCGTGTTAACGTTTAATGCGATTTTGCTTCGGTATCCGTTTGACAGTCGCCAAATACCCAGCAGCAAATGGAAGTATGGCAAAGCCACGGCAAACAACATCCTTTCAGTCTTTGCTGTGCTGTGTAAACACAGGACATATAGTGAAATATTGAATTGCCAAACTTGCCATACCGTTAACAAACACAATTCCATATTATCTCCTGTTTTCTTTGGGCTCTTGCTGCTATTAAACCTTACAAGCAGTTCAGTTATGGTGTTTTATTTGAATGTACCTCGATTTGTTGCGCAATATGCTGTGCATGATGTTGCATACAAGACATGGTTTACTCGTGTTTCGGCAGGGGTACGTTGCAGTCCATAGGTAGGCTACAGTGCCCAGAACAAAAATATGCAAATGTGACACTCAAAGGGTTAAGAGTGAGAGCGAGACTCAGCGGAACGGACAAGGCAGATACATGGACTGAAAGGCTTGTCAGACATGTCTGGCACTTTGCCCGCTCGGAGCTGAGACTCAACTGTCTACTTTAAATGCCGGCCACACTTACAGCGGATAATTTTTATCAATTTTATATGAACTGAGCCCTTTTCAAATGTGTATCACGGGGTATACTGGTTTTTGCCAAATGTATGTAATAGTTGGAAGAAAGTTTCTCCAATACCTTAAAGCATATCCATTCTCAATCAGCATCAAAAAACGAATCGATTAAGCAATATTTGGAAGTAAGGTTCTCCTAAAGCAGGCGCCGAGCTCCCCAGCTCTCACCATTATTAAAAATGTCCTTTATGCAGGTAAAGTCTAGATCTAGATATACCTACACAAAAACTTTGATGACATATTTATGCTATGAAAAATGCATATTCCATGCATTCGTAGGATGTTACTGAGAGAAGAAGAAGGACAAGTGCAGGAGTGTAAGTGAAAAGGAAGTCAACTGCTGCTCGATGCTGGGTACAGGATAACTCATAGTTGGGCACTCTCGACTAGAGCACTCCTGTCTTTTTTTCTCTAAATATTTAATTTGTTTTATTTTGCTGCTTTTAACGGTTGCCAATGTGCTTTGACCTTGACAGTGACTAATTAAGCGCTGCGCTTTATTTTGGTTTTATATCGATTTTGATTGGACCAACATCGACGCACATCTTTTGTTGCCAACTTTGACCTTTGTGCAAGGCCTGCAACTGCACTGGATAGTTGAATAGTTGGATGGTTGGATGGTTGGATAGTTGGGAGGTGGCTGTCGAAGCCGAATTAGGTTGAACAAAATATCGTATTTGCTAATGCAGAGCAAACCAAATGCGCAGCACAGCAGGGCAGCAGAACAGCTGCAGCACAGCAGGACAATTGAATGCAGGACACATGACAGAAGAACATGCACAAACCTTACTTGAGTTTGGGTCTTTCCACTTCTTCTTCTTCTTCTTCTTCTCGTTGTTGTAATTGTTGCCTGTGCTGTTCCTATAGCTTTTTATTGTTTCGTGCTGTGCTGCCCTGCTTTGGTGCAGTTTTAATAATTCAAAGTGCTGCAATAGACTGCTGACTGCCAGCTAGCTGTTAGCTGCTAGCTGCACAGCTACAGCTCCCTGTCGCATTAAATGTTCTTTTGTTTTGTATTTACACCGACCGCACTGAATGTGCGCACGTTACGTATACGCAATGCAAGGCAACAGAATGTCCCCTCAAGCGAAGCGTATGCACCTCAAACTCGACCGCATAAGCAGCTGTCAACATGGCAGAGCAACGAGTCTATGTGTCATTGTATACCCTATATGCTAAACTATGTGCGAAAAGGAAATATATATGTATATTCTTCTCACGAAACTTGATATGTATTGAATTAATTCTGCATGTGTTTAGCAAATGCACCTAATGAATGTTAGGGTATGCGTTATTTCTAAGTCAAATACTTAATGTGTAAAGGATATCGTAATGTATATAGAATATATATATAGTTGATTTAACACTCTTTGTTTATAGGGGTTTCCACAACTCAAGCAATCTCTGGTTAAGTTATATCTTTTGCTTATGCACTCACTGCTTATAGGGTATATCATAGTCAATATTCCCTGTATATCTTATAGTATGTGAATCCCTGTGTTTATGATATCTCAAAGTCATGCATGCAATATGTTTAGGAAATTTCTCTGGTTACAGGGTATCGGCCAGTTGAACACAGTTTAAATATAGGGGCTTTTTACTATTCAAGCGAAGTCTGGGTAAATTATATCTTCGGGTTAGGCACTAACTGCTTCTAGGGTATCTCTAATTAAAGTTTTTATAGATACAGAATATCTTCTATTGTAATACTGTTTTGATATCTCAAAATCAGACACGCTATGAATAGTATTTTTCTCTGGTTTTAGGGTATCTGCAAGTTAGACACTCTTTGGATATAGAGGTTTCGATTACTCAAGCAATCTCTAGTTAAATTATATCGTTAGCTGCACTCACTGAGTCTAGGTTGTCTCCAAGACAAGATCTCTCGGGTAATAGGCTATCTCCCAGTCAGGCTTAAGGTTGAACAATTAAGGGTTTGATCAGATAACTATATCCCACGGATAGCCGTTATTTCTGCTTATCGAAGATATCGCTATTCTTCAGATTTCAATAGCATTAAGCGCTTAACTATGCTTTTAACGATTTTGGCTTAGAAGCCAGATCTCTTAAAAACTAAAGCAGTATATGTAGGGTAATTACTTTACTTTTCTCTGCTTTTCACATGTCAAATTTGTCAGTTCTACTTTAACGGGGCTGCTTTATATATATTTTGACCTAGAAAGAGGATCAAAGCAGTAGCTTTTACAAAAATTATTTTGATGTTTTTATAGTTGGTTTTTCTTCCTGCGACCTTAAGTCAAATTTGTCAGTTTTACTTAAAAGCGGTAGCTTTAGATTGCACTTTAACAGAGACGAGAGCTCTTCTATGCCCAACTGGCTGTTACGTCTACGTAAATTGGGTCTTACGTTATCACGGCATAGAAACTGGGACACAGCAGCAGCTTTTTGGAAAATCTTTTTGATGTCTTTATTGTTTTTTCCTTTCCTCCTAGCCACATGTCAAATTTGTCAGTTAACTTTTAAAGAGGTTGCCTTAGATTTTATTTTTAGCAGGCACTTTAGCAGGGACCAATGCGCTTCTATGCCTAGCTGGCAGTTACGACTATGTAAATTGGGTTATCAAGGCCCAGAAACTGGAACGCAGCAGTACATTTTGGGAAAATCTGTTTTAATGTTTATTCTCTAACTACGTGTCAAATTTGTCAGTTAACTTTTAAAGAGGTTGCCTTAGATTTTATTTTTAACTGGCACTTAAACAGGGAAAAAGGAGAGAAGAAAATTGGGTCTTACATTATCAAGACCCTTAAAGAACTCTTACTAGTTTTTTTTTTTTTTTTTTTTTTTTGCCATCTTTATCACGTTCCATGTGTTTCATTTTGCAGTAGCTGCTGCTGCTGCTGCCGCCTGAACGCATTATTTTGCCATTTTGCATTTTGGCAGTGGATATTCGTTGGCATTTCATTTTGGCCTCGTCTGTAGCGGCTGCATCAGTTCCGTTTAGGCTTAGGGCCGCTTTTGGCTTGTGTTTAGCAGATGTTTCCCATTTTTGGTGCGCTGATTTACATCCAAGGCTGCACACTCACGACACGTCCTTGGCTATTTGCAGTCCCTGCTCGAGAATCCAAATGCGAATACAAATGCCACTTTATATCAGGGCTTCGAATTTCTCTGAAGCCAACGCAACATAAACACAGCTATGGAAATAGCCTTATGCTTAAAACGTAGCTCTAATTAGTGGAGCTTCACGTTGCCTCTGGCAAAAGCTCTTTGGGTGTTGCACTTGGCCGCAATCTTAGGCGGCTGACACAGTTTCTCGAGAGCTGCGGCATCCACACAGCATAATAATTATAATGAGGCTTCAGATGTTGTCAATACGCCTAGCACGAATAGGAACAAAATGTCAAGAAAATTGCCCTGCATAAATATTGTCTCGTCTATTTCTATATGGACTCAAATAGCTTGCAGATTCTAGGTATTTCTTGAAAGGCTGAACTCCTTTTGAGATATTTAATATAAACAATGATTTAGCTATTAGTTTATTTAATAAGTGTGCATTGCAAAGCATCCTTTCCGGTACTTCGTGTTGGGCTTGTATTAATTTGGATTCCTGGCTCTTAATTAAAGCAACACAATTTGGTAGCACCTTCAACCTGATATAAAATTGTTAATTTCTCAATAGTTTGAATGTGATTGTGTGCCTATGTTGTTTCTATATGAGTCATATGCTAAATCAGCCAGATTTGAAACAGATATGCATGACAGGATATAGTGGAATGTAGATGAGTCTGTTCGGGATATCCTGAAATAGTTTATCATAGAAGAACCGATTATCCGATTCAGCCGACTTAAACATAGTTACCGAACCTTTGGAAAGTTTCCTGTCGATAGCTATAAAACAGAGAGACTAGTTTGCATAAATACAGACAGACGAACATTGCTTTATCATATCGACTTATGATACTGATCAAGAATATATATAATTTATCTGGTTAGCTATGTCTCCTTATGTGCGTTTTAAGAGTATTGTGCCAGTAAATTAAGATTCCCTTTGCAAGCGTAGATGGAATGTGAAAGTCAATGGCAAAAAAACCGAATAAAGCTCGCCAGATGATATTGTTATCTTAACGTTTGAATTGCTTAAAGTAAGATTTGAAAATACATTTGAATTGAATTGAATAATAAAACTCCGAATTAATGTGTTCCGAATTAAAGATATGAAATTTCCAGGTCGTAAATTAGAATTCACTGAGCAAGAAATTGCGAATATAAAGTTCTCAATGTTGAAATTGTTGTTTCATTCTTTTTAGCACTGGCTGCTGCTCACTTCGTATAATTAACGACATTTACTTGCGGACAGGATTTATAAATATTTATTGACAAACTTGGTTTGCGTCTAGTTGTTGTAGCTCATCTGTTTGCTTTGTTGCTGCTAATGAAAAAGACATCAGTTAGTTAATTATTAAATAATTAATAATAATCTAACGTGCTTGTGATATGTCAGCCCTGATGACAGTCGTCGGCCAAACACGAAAGCTGAGCCACGTTTTGTGTTTGCCTTTGCCAAAGGGCACATTTGTATCAGCCTGGAGTGTGGGGTTCCTTTGTTTGATTATCTTTTGTATCTTCAGCAATGAAAGGAACATTTTCTTTTGCACTCGGAAGCCCACCAAGTTAAAATAAAAAATAACGTTAGTAAAAAGAAAAAGTTTCAAAATAAAATTTCAAATTATAAGCTAAATTGGTTTTGTTGATAAATCACTTTCAACTTGTTGCTTTACTGAAAGAACTTTTCACTTTTGATAGAGTTAGGAAAGTTTTTCGTAAATATTTTATATAGATATTTAGTAGTTTGATCTAAAGGGACGATATATGCCTAAGAGTTCCTTAAATACATGAGATAGATTTCAACTTGTTTTGTTAAACAAATATCTTTTTTTGATTAATTTTATTTGATAACATGCCGTGTTTAGTTCATTAGCAGGGAAATAAATCTGGCTTTAATCAAAATTATAAATGGTCTATAAATTAGTGATAATATTATTAGCTTAATACAACTTTTACTGAAGTAATTTAACTGAAGGCTTCGAAGTGTCCTTTGGGTATTTCGCTGAGAAATTGCTGCGGCGTGACCATCGAATGGCGGACGCAGAAAAGTGTGCTATGCAAAATTGCAATTTACTTGCGCTAATTTAATAAAGCTGCCGCACACACACACATACATACATACACACTGCCTCAGCTTAAATGCACAACAACTTATTCTTCTACTTTTGTGCTTGCTGTTGTCAAATCAGCAGCGCCAGCGGATGGGCATCTCGTGGTTGCTTGGAATTTATGTCTTGTAATGCAATCTGTTTGCTGGTCTGTCGCCTTGAGCTGCGCCAGCGAAAAGCTGTTGAAAATAATTACTTTAAAGTCGAGCGCAGCTTTCATGCCTGCCGCACAAAGCCGAGTCTCAGTCGTCGCAGCACGTTTAACGGGAGGGCCTGATATGATGATATATGTATGTGCTTCAATCTGAGAGCCTTTCAGTTCTATCATGCATTGTCAAATTAAATGGTTCAGATGCGCATAAGTATTTGCCTAAGTACATATATACATGCATATATATGTATAAGAATAATCAGAAAATGAATTAAATGCTTCTTAAAAGTACTTAAACTCAAAGCTCTTTGTCTTCTACGTGTGCTTAAACGGTCGCATTTACAAATAGCAGTTAAAAATAATATTGTAATGTGGCGAAATGTGTGTCTTGGACAGATAAAACGGACAGATTCGTATCGACAACAAAAGCATTTTTTGTGCAACAGTTTTTCATCCAATTTCCACACTGGGCTGTGAATTTCTTTGAGACGACGCTTATATATATATATATATATATATATGTATATAAAGAACAAACTGTGTATATTTATTATATATATATGGTAAGACAGTGTGCATTTATATATATAAGAGTTGGTCCTGACAGCTTTAATGACAAGTGCTAGCATGCTGACATTTTGACAGGTGCTCTCTTCTACGATAAACACAAGCACTAAAACTGGTTTGTGGAATTTCTGACAGTTAAAATTTTAAATGAAAATGTTTATTTCTTTATTATTGCTTCTATATAATTTAAAAATGTTGAGGGGTTCATTTAAAGAGGAAATCCATGAAAGCATCCTGTTCTGGTCGAGGATATCAGTTTTTTTCGCTATGTTATTAAACAACCTCTGCTGAGATAATATGCATTATATTACATTGTTCGCGTGATTATTGTGTCTGGAAAATAAACTTTTTTTTTGGAATAAGTTCTTGAAAATAAGTAATAACTTTTTCTTATTTTTTTGGCGTGTCGTCCTATCAACTTGCTGCTGTTGTATAAACGTAATACCATTTATCCAACTTTTTCAAATCCGTGACCTTCACCTTCTTCAGTCTTTTGTTCTGGCTCAGCGTTCATATTATTTTCATGGGATCAGCACACGCGCTTGGGCTTTCTTCTTCTCTCCGCCCGAGAGCCTCAGTTGTGGAATTGAAGTTGGATTCATGTGGCTTTCGGCAATATTTGTGGTTGGGGCATACTTGGGGATTTAATTGAGCGGCATGCGAGAGCTTTGACACGCTTCCACACGCACGAATGTATCATTCCAACCACAACACAGGCATACTCGCACGCATACACACACACACATACGCACACACACACACACATAACGCAAAGAATTTCGCTTAATTGAATATTAACGCCTGTTGACTAGGCGAAATATTTTCGAGCGAACGACATCGACGAGCAATAAAAACGTTGCTCCCTCAGCTTCCCCGTTAACCCGCCCCCCTTCTACCCCATTCCATACACGCACCCACTTCACCCAGTTTTCTCACGTTCTACTCGTCCGGCTTGTGTCGCAATCTCCAATTTTTCTATTTATTTCAATTAATGAAGCTGCGTCTTCGTTGTTTAATTAATTTGAAAGAAAGAGCCCTTCAATAGTGGTCAAACATGGCTTGTGTGCTTGTATACCCTATACCCAAACAAGAAACAATTGATGGTCATGTAGTTTTTCACATGTAAAACTATTATTTCAATTAGATATTACAAAACGTTCATTTTACCCAAGATAAAGGTAAAATTAAAGAATTAGTTTCCGATGAGATGGTCTTATCCGGTTTTGATCCGGATTAAGAGCGTATCTGCAATTTTGTTTTCTACTCATTTTCCACTCTAAAGGGGGACATATTTTTCTACAAAAACTTGTATATCGATCGGAGAAACTTAGCCTTGAAGTGCTACTGTCATCTCAAGGACTAATCACAAAAGAAAACAACTGTGAAATTTACAGCTTATCAGCGTTAACAGTTTGATCAGTCAATAGAAACAGCTTTACTTTTGTATTTGGGTTAGAAAGAAACAGATTTGACTCATATAGGGTACCTGCCAGTCGACTACTCATGAGTTGATTACTTTTATTTTGGAAATCAACTGCGCGGCCCAGCTTGAAGTATGTGCGGCAACTGCGCGTTTCGGGAATTAACGGATTACATTTTCAATGCAACATACTAACGGCACTTTAATTAGTGTGTATTCACTGATTAATTAGTTTGCATGTAATATGCTTGATATATGTATGTACGATTGACTTGAGCTTGGTGTACACAGTGCTTAAAGCTGAATTGGGCTATTTTCAGATGAGAGCTTTTTATGGCAGGGCATTTAAATGTTCTTCGAACAATAATTTGAATTCCTTTGGCCCGCTCATTTCTTGGCACACCCCGAAACGCAGTCAGCAAGCCAAACGATATTTTGGCTCCTTCTTTTTGGGGTCTTTTTATGTATGTTTAATTTATTACCTTACTTTTTGCGCATTTCGCTTTGTTTGCTGCCTTTGGCAGGAGACGCAACTAAAATAAAACAATAAAACCGAACACACAAAGAAAAACCAATGCGCCGCTGTGCAAAGCATAAACGAACTAATTACAAAGACAATAACAATACCAACAGCTAAATATAATCTAAAACAACAACAAGCAGAAAAAGGCAACAACAACAAGAAGAACAACAGCAACAACAACAGTAACGTCATGCAAGCTTACTTGGCGCAGCGCGCAGCTGCGACGGCTGTGCCGCTAACGCCAACGCCACCGGCAGCAGCAGCAGCGCCGGCGCCAAGGTGAACGTGCAGCAGCTGAAGCTATCGCAATAGAGAGCGAGAGTAAGAGAGCGCGCACTCTAGAGCAGCAAAGAGCGAAACGGTGTCAAAGCAATGCGCAGAGTTCAGCAGCGCCGCTGCAGTTGCATTCGAGTTTCAGCAGCGCAACGCAGCAGACGTTGACGACCGCGGGCGGCAGAGAGCGAAAGCGAATCAAAGCGAAGCGAACTTAAAACCAAAGTCAAGCCCCAGCCGAGCCGAGTCAAGCCAAATACGATCGCAGGCGACGGGGCCAAAGTGCGAATAACAAAAGACAAAAGAAAAAAACCTGTGCTTAACTTGAAATAACCAGACACATATCGCATGTGTTTTCGGCGATAACAATTACGATAACAGCCAATCGATAAACGATAAACTTCAATTATAGCTACAGAGTGTGTGCTCAGACAAAATGTGTAACCGAAAATGTTTCCGCATGCCCACGTTAGTCATCTGCGGCGTCTTGCTGACCATCGTGCTGGTCTGCATTACAGGCATTACCCTAACCAACAGCATAAACATATCGAATATCGTCAAATTGCGCGAAAAGGTCGCCAGCGACTCGGCGGCTGCCAATGGCGGCCATCAGGCTGCCCAAACACGCGCCGCGCTCGTTGAGCAGCAATACTCGACATTGCAGCAGCATCATATGTCCAAAAGCGATCTGAACTACATATCAGCGGCTACGCATCCAAAGAATCTACAGCGCTTCCTAGCGACAGCGCAGCCCCACCAGCAGTCGGCGCAGGCCAACAAGATTGTTATCGAGATCGGTTTACGAAGCAACAGCGGGGGCAGCAGCAGCGGCAACATCAAGGACAGTGGCTCCACGGCTGGTGGCGCCGCCGGCTTAATGCCCATGCCGCATATGCTGCAGGCGGCGGATGCGCTCATGGAGGGCAATGTTGATTCCATATCTCTGCCAGCAGCAGCGCCAGCTACAACACAGACACCGACTACAGCAACAACAACTACAACTACAGCAGCAACAACAACAATGAGACCCACAATAACAACAACAACATCAACAGCTGGCACGACTCTCGTCTTGGGCATTGCCGATCATAATCCAGCGGGGATTCAATTTGAGCGCCGTGCACATGTCAAACAGGTAAAGTCAAAGTCCGCCTCCGCCACACGGCACGCCCCCTCCGATGGGAAGATTTACTATCTATAGCTTCCATTTAGCATTGTTCGTTGATTTTGCCGGCAATTTTAATTTTCAATTTTCTGATGCGCCCTTTGTTTGACTCGCGATATTGTTGTTTGTCGTTGTTATAGCTGTTGTTGTTGTTGCTTCGCTAATCATCACCAATGCATTGTCATGTCAACAACAACAACAACAGCAGAAGCGAACGCGATAAACAACAGAACCATATTCTATAAGCAACTATTTACAGCTGCATATAAGCATTAAAATTATTTATGGCTTAGCTAATGTACAGTTATTATAGAGTAACGGCACAAAACGGCAGTTCTTAAACAAGTTAGCAAAGTTTCAGCCGACTTGTTGTATCTAATCGTTTTATTTGTTAAATAGTCGTGACAAAACTTAACTGAGCTGAAATTCGAGCCGAAAAACTAGAACGTTACAGTCGGATGCAACCGACTGCGCAATACTCTGTTCACAGTGTTCAAAAATAAAAAATATTTATTTTGTCGCGAGTATACATTCGGTTTTTTGGAGTTCCTGTGGATAGACACCAAGTCCGTCATTGGAAGTTATCCAATATTCCCTGTGTTACTTGCTACACTTGATTCTTGAAAGCAAATATTGAGATTTTAATTTCCCTCATGCATGAAAAACAATAAATATTACAACAGAATGTTGATTTTTATAAGGACACATCCCCTAAGATCTTCCCGGTGCATAGATAATATTCTTTGTGTAAGTATTAACCCTTAGATATCTTAGGGAGTGTTTCCTTATAAAAATCAACATTCTCTTGGAACATTTATATATACATATATATATGCATTCTAGGCGAGCTTCTGTTTAGCCAAATCGGATGATATTAGAATTGACCATAGCAGAAATTACTTTATTATTCAGTTCTTGTTTGAATTAACTCATTATAGCAAAAACAATTAAAAAAATATTTCGGAAATCAAGCTTCCTTTTAAAAAAAACTATTTTGGTCAAGATAAATGATATAAGAAATATTATAAAATGAGCTATATCTTGACCAAATCAACTGATCACAAATTATACAATGCTGCTCAAATTTTTGCGAAATTAAGGTCAGTAAAAAGTTAAGAGATTTAGGAAACTTGACCTGAGTTACCCATTACGGTTTCTCATATATGAAGTTCGCATAGGAAAATCAGAAAATTAGGTTGCAATAAAAACATCGTCCCGTCAAAAAAGTATTTAATCTTCGTGAGCATATTTTCTTGCGTATTTTTGTGTAACAACTCAATGAACTAAACAAATACCGAGTTATTATTTATATATGCATTGCATATTTATTAGTGAATAAAATAAAAGTTGAAAACAAATGCAAACGGTTTTGCAAGTGCTTTGAACCGATCGCTGATCGAGAACAGCTATGTAATTCTCAAACGGTTCACGCTCCGCCCACCGCACACCGCCAGAGAACCAGTTCACTGGAATCGTTCTACTAAAAAGTTTTGCACAGCGCAATTCATGCTGTCAATTACAAAATCAACAGCAAAAATAAATTAACTCTCTATAAATGATATACGAGCCTCCCTAGCTCTCGTTCTCGCTCTCCTCATCTTTGTGGCTGATTACAATAATTAACATAGTTTTAATGACACTTGGCAAAAAGTAAATGGGAAAAAAAATAGCAAAAAAAAAAAAAAAAAAAAAAGAAAAACAAAACAAACGTCAATTGCATTCTAGTTGCACGACCACAAAATCTCTCTTAAATCGCAAATTTTTCCAAAGCTACTAATGCGATTGCTTCGAGAAAGTTGCATCTCTCTATCCAACCATCTCGCTCTCTCTACCTCTCTCTCTCTCTCCCTCTGCTCTCTGCTGCTCTTTGTTGGCGCTATGGCAAAGTTCAGACTGAAGCTTTTGCTGCTGCCAATGCAATTGCAAATGCAAAGTTAAGTGCAGCAAGAGAGGCGACAGGCGCGAGGCTAGGCGAGGCGAGGCGAAGAGCGAGTGCATTTTGTTGAATGTTTAATGTGAAAAAGCTTAACGCTGCGAACCGTACTGTTGCCTTTGCTCAACCCCCCGCGACCCCTCTAACCGATCCGACTGTCAGCCGGGCAGGCAGTCAGTCAAAAGCCAACGCTAAGCCAATTAACTTTGCAAACTTATTCCGTGTGAAATTAATTACTTGAATTTTTGTTTTAACGTATGGCTGTGCGGCTGCCTTTTGCTGTTGTTGTTGTTGTTGGTGTTGTTTTTTGTTGTGTCAAGAGGGAGAAGATACACAAACAAATTAAACTGATGAATTTTTGATGGGTTATTTATTAATGTACGCGCACTAATTTTAACGCTTCCGTTTCCTTACTTAGATTGCCCTCAATAAGTCAGTCGCACAATTAAATTCCTTGAGTTCCAAAAGTCTGATTGCGAGTTGCAATAATATTTAATGCAAATTTTGTTTCACGACTTTCAAGTAATTCTCATAAGGAAAATGGGGTGCATCTAGTGCCTCATATCCGCTTAAAGTTGTCTTCAATCCTTTTTTAAATAGGCTATCAGTTTAACCTTTGATTGCCAAGTTTTATGTAGTTTGAGAGGTTTCCAAAAAATTCGATACATGTATTCAATTAAATTTTTCATAGATCTTTGAAAACGAGTTTGAAGCCGACCGCTTGATAAAACAAAATAATTTAATAAGTTAGTTTTCCGCCCTTCTTCCATCCGTTGGGCGAATTTTTTCATATTTATTAAAACATGCATAATTTAATTTTTGTATACAATATGCAAAAAGTTTTAAAAATTTGATTGAACAAAAATGGAGCATTAGTCCATACACTTGGACTACCATTTTCCACGCAAAGAGGTGGATTTTTTCGAAAAACGTGAAAGAAATTCTCCAATAATTTTACACAAATGTGAAAATAAACATGAAACCTAGCTTCAAGCGAATCGTATGTCAAGCAAAAAAATTTTAACCAACCATTTTCCGCCAATTTTCCACTCATGCGGGTGGAATATTTTAAAATGTGAATTTTTAAAAAAGGGGCTTGAACCGATTTGATGACAACCAAAATGTTTCATGAAATCGTTTTCCACCAATTTTCCACTCTTGCGTGTGGAATTTTTTAGTACCCGTCCTTCCGTGCATTAACTTCCTAGCTCTTATGGTTAAGTCTGTGCGCTGTTCACCAATCAATCATTTTGTCAGTCAGTCAGTCAGCCAGTTTGGAGAAATAGTTATTTGTATACAGGCATAATAGGGGCTTTCATAATTCTCATAACCCCTGTACCGACTTTCTCGCTATATTTTATTTAATATGCTCGTTTTTCATACAAAGTTTAGCCCATTAAATTATATTGTATGTGTTTCTGACTAGCCCCGCAATTAAATTGAGGCGCGGTCGACTTTCTCTGTGCCGTGAGGGCTTGTAAAAGTTTCTTAATAATAAATTGCTTAACTTTTAGGTATACAAAATCACACTGTAGCCCAAGGGGGTTGTGTTCAAAGCTTTGCCGGGCACTCCTTAACGCTCTCAACACGCCGTCGGCTCGTCACGTGCTAATTCAGGTGGGAGGGGGAGAAATGAACTAAACGATGATCCTGTTATTTAAATTAAAATTATGCCCGGAATTAGCGAACGCATCTCCTTTTCGCATGCCTTTCCAATTCAAGGGGCAGCTTTCTTACGCAATTGATATTTAAGCGCTTGTAATGAGAGAGGAAATAAATATTAATAATTGCATTTATTAAAACCCCGGTATTTAACAGTCAGCAAAACTAGTTTTAAATTATATAATTGAATATATATTTTATCAACAATAAGCTATGTAATATACATATGAGCTTTTATTCTAAAACTATCTTTGAGAGCTATTAAATATAAAGTTAAATATTTTGTACATTTAAAGGAAAAATATTCATTTAATTAAAGAACAAGTAAGAGGCTCTAGTCGGGGGTTCTCGTCTATGGGATATCCTAAACCCTCTTTTATGCGATAGCCATACAATACTTGATATATATATACATACTATTTTTAAAACCTAAGAGATTTGCTCAAAAACAGAATTTAAATATCGATTATTATCGATTGCTTTGAAACGGGTCAAGTTGTCGATTATTGGAAACAAACTCGTGCTGCGCGGGCACTGGGAGGACCTCCGTTCATGTCTCTAACTCTTATAGTTTTTGAGATCCTGGCGTTCATACATACGAACGGACGGATATTGATGCTGATTATAAATATATACTTTATGGGGTCGGAGATGCTTTCTTCTGCCTGTTACATACACTTACACAAATACATTATACGCATTTTACCCATTTTCCATGGGTTCAGGGTATACAAATCACTATGATTACTTTTAATTAGTATGTTAAATAATCGATACCCAAAATCGCAGAGCGTACAATCGATAATAACAGCTTAGTCAGCTATTGATCGGAACTATCGATCGTGCTGCAAGCGAAACCTTAGAAAATCTCAAATATATATATATATATTTTTATTATAGTCGTGTTATATGTTTAAACCATGTTCCCAGTGCATGTTCGTCTTACCGATACTTTGTACCGTTAGCCGTTTTCCCGTTTGCTGTTTCCTGTTTCATTGCCGCCATTTTTCTGTTTGCCCCATCAGTTCGGAAGCCATCCGCATCCGTCATTCCTGAGTATAATTTATAACAACAATTGCAATGTAAAACAGCCTTTTTAAATGTAAAACACGCGCCCGCTTACCGAACCGAATCGAACTGAATCCTTATTTTGTCTGATGATTTTCTTTCTTCTGTTTCTCTTTCCTTGCAGGTGAGTTGCAACCGCGTCTTGTGAAGCGGAAAATGTGGCATAAGTAAAAGCTTCCTGGAATGTTTCGGCATCTCTCTGATAACAAGCGTCACCTTTAGTGCACTATCGTGGCAGGTAGGTGGGGATTGGTATTGGGTAAATCTGGCCATGCTGGGGCAGCGGAAATTGGAGCTCATGCCACTG